AGAAGAAGTGTGTGAGGCCCATGGTTTAACTCGATTAGAAAGATGTTTTTCCCCCGAAGAGTTGAGGAAAGCTAAGACTTCAAAAGATAACCCAGTGTTGGTGAAAAAAGCCATGACCGAGGAAGAAGCAGAGGAGTTCTTGAGAAAGATGAAAGTGCAGGACTATTCCATTAGGGAGCAGTTAAGGAAAACACCGGCTCAGATTTTATTATTGTCATTATTGATCCATTCTGACGACTTCTTATTTTATTTACTATTTTGGGGGCTTTTGATATTATGAAAATCTAGATCTAAAAGATGGTTTGCTTGCTATTTGGGTTTCGGCAGATCTGGCCAGTATATAGCTTTTTCAGCTACCGTAAATTTTTCGGCCACTGCTGCGACCGATGAAGTTTTCCGGCTAAACCTTTTCGGGCTGGAAATCATTTCTCCAGTGAACCTCTGTTTGTTTGTGGATTGTTGTTACTATGAATTTGTTATGCTGGAGATTTAATCTCCTTTTTAAGATGGAGTTTTTACCTCCTATAGCAAAGGTTAACACCATATTTATTTTAAATAAATACCATTTAAAAATATTATATTTTATAGATATTTTTAAGGTTTATAGCAAAATAGTCAATTGTGGTTACCTCCTAGCCCTAAGCCACTAAATACGCTAATCAGTTACACTATTTTCTTTCTCTGTATTTTGATACATCACATTCTCTTCCTCCATCCCATTAAAATTTTCGATCTCCTCCTCTTTCTACCGGATTTGTGGAAAGTCCACTTCAGAAATTACTGTATGTGTTTTGATTAAAAGAAAATACCCTCGGCTTCAACAATGGAAATAGTGCATAATCGGAATCGATCGTGGAGTAAGTTGGTGGCTGTTTCTTCCTCTTCTCTATCTAGTTCTTTTTCTTTATCTCTATTCGGTACTATTCAACCTTCTTTCTTTTCTTTTCTTCCTTTCTTTAATTGAATTTCTTTCAAACGTTAATGAAGTTTTCTTTTTTACATTGTTGGATTTGGTGTGTAGTAAAAATTTTCGGCAATTGGTTGTTTACACAGCAATGTGGGTCAAATAAATGGGGTTAGGTGGTGGAAGATGGGGGAGGCTTATGATGGTACTGAAGGAGGCAATGTTGAAATAAAAGAGTGGTACTGCGTGAACTGCTACGGATCAAGACGTTGTCTTGCAACAGCGTTACGTTCATGCCCGCAAACATTAGCGTTATTGTTGGAATTGTAATGGGGACTGTGTAGCAAGTGTCGAATCGCCAAGGCTTGTCACTGTTGTTTTCCTTCCCATTCTCCTCCTAAACTCGTTCCTCACTGCTGTATAAGCCGGCTCCACTAGCTTCGTGAATACCGTCCCTGCCAATTGAAAAAATTGAGATATGGATGTTGTCGGATGATTTTCTGTTAATATATGTCAATGTATTTTCATGTATTTCATTGTATTCATTGTCTTTTTTTTCATTATAATTCAATGTATCTCGTTATATTCCATGTATTTCATTATATTCACTATCTTTTTTTCTCATTGTATTTCAATGTATCCCGTTGTATTCTCTGTATTTTATTGTATCCACTGTCTCGCTATATCCCATGAATGTATTCATAAGTTTTTTTTTAATTAATATAATTTATGTATTCAAATGTATTATATAATTTCTCTGAAGATTGCTATGTTTTTGGGGTATTTTTCGATTGAAAATCTTTTTTACAACTGAAAAAACAAAATTTATGTGTTATAATTGAGTTTGTTGAGTTATATTAGGAGTCTATTATGTTAATTGATTCACTTTCCCTTTTAAAAACAGTGTAATCCCCTATTTCATGCCGTGAATACAGTCGAATACAATAATCTGTCCAGCTGTAATCCCATGTTTCACTTCATGAATACAGTCAAATACACTCGAATACAACAACTAATTAGCTGGACTTCCTTGTTTCACGGCTATTTTTGTTGTTGTATTCATGAATACAATAACTTAAATACATCAAATACATCTAATAACCACATAAAAGGTATCTATAATCCGTAATATAGCAAATGATATCTATAAATGGCTAATTACTACTAAAAAATAGTGTTTTATGAAAATTTCCCTTTTAAGATCTATCAGGTGCTTGTGGGTCAGATGAATAATTCGGTAGCTAGCCACTAGAATTACTTTTGGGCTATAAAATGTATATTGTAATTTAGGGCTATCGGGTGTTATAAGTTTTGCCCGAGTGACAATAAATGAATTTTGCTTACCGGTATTAAAAGTAGCTATTTGTTATTTTCTTCTCCCGTGAGCCTGCTAAGCCCAAACAAGGCTTGATTAATGGAATTTTTACATTTCTATGCCACATAGGAAACCTTATTACCCTCAATGTTTAAGGTTTGACTTAATTACATTTAGTATACCAAATTACCAATTCTATAACATAATTAATTAAGGGTATAATTAATTGTACATTTTTTACTCCTTAATTAAAGAAATTTGCACGTTTCTCTCTCCTAACCCCTCAGTCCCACCCATGTTTTACCTATACCCACGTTCTTTTTACCTTTTTCCATCTTCTGAAATCAAATTCTCCCTCTAAATTCACAGAAAATTAAAGAAACCCTTCAACAAAGTTGGTTCCCCATTTTACTCCAGTGGAAGTTCATCAATGAAGAACAACAAAGTTCATCAAAATTGAAGTCAACTCTTCAAAGTTCATACACACATTTACCTTCAGCTTCAAATTTTCTCAATGAAGAAGAACAAACCTTCAAAGAGATAAGAGAGCAGCAATTCCACCATTGACAACCATTAAAAAGCTTTGAAGCTTTGAATTCAAATTTGAGTTTTCAAAAATCATTATTTGTTTTGATTGAGTGTTGTTGTAAATAATTGGGAATGTTTTGGAGTTTATATCTCAATTTTGAGGGGTTTTGGTGAAGATTTAGACTTGGTTTTGGCTGAATTTCAGATTGAAACTCGAAGAAGAAGAAGAAGAAGAAAAAGACATATTGCAGAAATTGTAGATAAATTATAGTTACAGTTGGATTGACCAGAATTTGAACTAAATACACCTTCACCGCCGTTGACGGTTTCCGACGAGGAAACTCCTTTGTTCTCTACTTCTCCATTCTCTATTTCTTATTTTTACTTTTGTTTTACGTTTTCTATTTCTAATCTGAGTTTCTTGATTTCGCACACTTTATACACACATTTGATACAGCAAAAATATGAAGTAGTTATAGTTGGATTGATCAAAATTTGAAATAAATAAAAGAAATTTTTATATTCCTATGCCACATATATTTCAAATTCTATGGAAATCTGATTTTACGGTAATATCTATAAAATTCCTACATTTATCTACAAATAAACTACACATCAGTGTTAGGATGTATAAAGCAATATTATTTTCATAAATATCTACAAAATTACTATATTTATACTACAATTAAATTACAATCCGTTGACTACAAAATTTTTCTCTTCATCTACAAAAATTCTACAAATATACTACAAATCAGTTTAAGTATGTATAAAGCAGTATTATTTGTAAGGGTATCTACATAATTACTACATTTATACTACAATTAAACTACAATCTATGTTGAAAATCTACAAATTATTTACAAAATATCTACAAACTGGGTACATTGAATTTTAATGTCTCAATTCCCATTCAATTATAGCATAATTGGGAATTTTGATATAATTGCGTTTTTTCAGAAGATTTGTAGAAGTTTTAGTCGTTTTTTATTTGTCAAAACAGAAAATAAAGCATCTACAATCAGAATACAAATAATCTACAATTTATCTACAAAATATCTACAATTTATCTACAATTTCTGCAATATGTCTTCTTCTTCTTCGAGTTTCAATTTGAAATTCAGTCAAAACCAAGTCTAATCTTCACCAAAACCCCTCAAAATTGAGATATAAACTCCAAAACATATTCCCAATTATTTTCAACAACATCCAATCCAAACAAATAATGATTTTTGAAAACCCAAATTTGAATTCAAAGCTTTCAAGCTTTTTAATGGTTGTCAATGGTAGATTTGTAGCGATTTTGATTTAATGACGAACTGGGATTTTGATTTGTAGCGATTGTGAAAATATCGAAGAAGAGAATTTGATTATAAATTGAAGATAAAGGATTTCCGTGATATGATTTGATCTGATTTACGCCAAATTTTTTTAGAAGATTCTGTTCCTGAATTTTAGCTCGACAAATTAGGAAGATTCAGCTACTATTAATTAGTATTTAATGATTGATATAATAATTGTAGAAAAAATGTGAACAGGATGGGTAAATTAGAAATTATGCACACTTTTGGTAATAAGGTTTCATATATGGTATAGGAAAGAAAAAATCTCTTGATTAATCACTTCAAGGATACATCGAGCCCATTATTCAACACATTTACGCAGTCTGTTGACATCTTCTAGCCTTCAGTCTCCAACTTTTGTTCCATCTTTTTTAGCAAGCCGGTATCGTGCAACTCACAAGTTCCCATATCATGGAAAGGAGATGGCTCGTGAAGCAATACATTATCAAAAGTCTTAACGTCTCTCATGAAACTAGCATTGCAACCAGAACAGCAATTCTATCAATTCCCAGCTAATGCTAACCAAAAACAACTCAACTGAGACATCGATAATTCAGGATAATTTTTTTTTTATAAAAAAGAAAGGAGATATAGAACTGTTCTTACTTAATATCAACAGAAAGACACCTATACCAAACGCCTCTAACCAATAGGGACAGCACCACGATGAAATTTGACATGCCAAACATGAAGGATAGAATGCACCAAAATGGTCTTCAACACTAGGAGAGGAAGTTACTTACCATACTGTGCTAAAACACCAAAGAAGAACCTAATGTTATCCAAATGAAGAATAAAAAAATGAGAGAAAATGTGCATGAGCAGCAGAAAAATAGAAGCATTATACGGTTGTGACATAATTGCACGAGCATTTAGTCCAACCATCCATTCTTAAGGGGGCAAAAGAAAATGCAGCACAAGCAGACAATGCCTCTTCATTAAAGCATGAGCCTGCTACCATTGAAAAATCATAAAATATAGTCTTTGTTTAGCAATAGCAAATAAATAGGTAATTCCATAACCTCTACAAGTTTACATACCACTGATGACAATAGAAAGCTAATATAGTATTTGTACAAGAACCTATTGGATGATGACCACAGCATTCCTAGAGATAGCTTGCCCATGTAGTTCTTGTTCAATTGAGTTACGTTTTCTTTCATCGAGGGAAACACCCCGCGTTTTCTCCCATGTACCACTACCAGAATAACATGTAAAACATGGGCTGAGAAACATTCGTTCAAGTACCAATGCACTTCTCAGAATATAAACAGCAAATTCAATCTCTGCTCTGGTTCCACGAAATCCACCAAATGTCACTTCTTTTAGTTCAGTGTGATATGTAGGAGATAAAGGAGGCCTTATGCCACTTCCTCTTCCATCCCTTGTCGTCCTCGATTGCTGAGATCACAACGAGAATGAGATCAACATATTGCTAATTTAACACAACTATGAATTTTGTATTTGAGCAAGCGGCATTTAACTGAACCAAGACTGCTTGCTAAAGCAGCACATTAATTGGACAGTAAGGATTATACTAAGTAGTTCATTATGCTGTGGATCAAGAAAATAGTTTAATGGAAATCAACTATAGTAAGCGCTTCATTCACTTACCAGTATAGTTAGACCTTTTCTAGCACACAACATGGTGTAACATCTCCTAGTTAAAATGAACAAATGATAACATATAGTTCTCTAATGTATGCAGGACCTTGAAGACTTGCACTTCGCCAACTAAACTTATGTGGCACTTTGTTATCAAATATCAGCATTAACAAGGTTTTCAGAGCAAATCAGTCATTCCAGATTATTAAAAAAATGTAGGAGAGGAAAACAAATTAGTTCAAAATAATTGCACTATCTAAAGATGATTTTTTGTTGTTGAGAAGGTAAAGTAATTTTATAGATAAACAGTTCAAAGGGTGCGCTATTACAACTGTACAATATGTCAATATCTTCAGAAGCAAAAAAGCACAAATATGCCTCTTCTAATCCTGTAGGGCTTCTAACATCTGGAACACTGATTCAGTATCTTACATGTTCCAATCTACACCATGAGCAGAACAAAATTATACAGTTAGATTTTTTATCTTCATGATAGAGTTAGCAGAGTTTTCAAAAAATCTTTTGTATCTTGCAGTCCAAGTGGTGGAATCAGGAATGTCTATCTGTAGTTGCTCAAAGTTGTATTCTTCTAGGACTGAAAGTCAAATGATCTAATGAAATTAAAACAAAAAGCTGTAGGGATGTAGCAATTCACAAAAGGGTTTAGCAAAGTAACTGTTATCCTTAGTCTACGTCGGGTAATACTTTTTTATTGGTGTAAACATGACTTGACTAAAGTGAAAAGGTAATATACTTATCATATTATCCTTTAATTCAGGCGGACATGCCAATGTATGGTAGGTAAGCCATTTTCAGCACTAAGTTAGCAATCTAAAATTCATGCCTTGTCTGAGTTACCATCAAGGGTATTTTTTTTAAGTAAACATGACTAGATGAATAGCATCTAAGTTTAAAAGCTTAAGTGCCTTTTTAAGGGGAAGCAGAAATTTCACTACATTAGATATCTACATCTTCATTCATTTCTCTTGGAATAAGCATATGTAATTGAGTTATTGAATCCTTCCCTAGTCATTTTATCAACAATTCATTATGTCCAAATCAGAAAAGTGAAATGATCATAGAGAGGTAACCAGCTAGGCCCAACTTATGGATTTTTAGCTTAAAAGCTATTTGGTTTTGACCAAGTATTTTACCTTTTATGCCTTATAACATCTTAAAACAAAAATATCCTTTACAAAAAAGCCCTAATTCTACTCATTTCTTCGTCTTTCTTCTTTCATCGCCCTATTCCTCCATCTCTGTCTGTCATACACGGTGCTTGTACAAATAAGGTCAAATATCCACATTTGACAGTGAGAAACCTTTCTCTGCAACTAATCAGAAAGGTTGGTAAACTATTTTATCATTCTTCACAGAAACATTAACCTGCCGAGGCAATGATATAGCTGAGATCTTTTAGAGCAGTCCGATATGAACAATTCTAAGATGCAGGTCTCAATACAATGATAATTCCTGGCAAAAGTGTTTCAACATTATTTCCTGTTGTTCTGGTCAAGGGAAACATAAGCTGCAGCTTCTTCTTCTTTACTATGCTATTTTAATGATAAAGGAAGCCACATTCTATAATCTTAAAATATATATGTTGTTAAACTGTGCACATAACATCAAATGGCAAATTGTGCCCATCCAAAATCATTTACTAATTTTTATTTGAATCACTTCAAAATTAAAAATCTTTCAGTACTCAGCTCCTCTATAGTGTTAACAGATTTAAGGAAATTTTGGTTCTTATAACAAAATAAACACTTTTTATCAAACACATCAATAACTTATTTTCAGCTTCAGCACTTTTATCTAAATGTGTAGCTGCTTAATTATAAATTGGCCCCAACGCTTAAAAAAGTATTTTTCAGCACTTGGTGCTTACAAGCTATTTAAATTCAGCTAACCCAAAAGGGTTCATAATCCCCCTTGCAAAAAAGTAGTAGTAGATAATTACTATTTGGGTTAAACATCTCTATTAGTTCCTAGACGAGAAAATGATCAAAATGGTCCTTAATGCATTGGGGTTGCTTCATTTTTGTCCGTAATGTATGTAAAAAGGTGATAGATACGGTCCAAATTCCTAAATCTAACAAATTTTTCGAAAAGGACTGTTAAGTTTAACCATTCAACCCATGTGCAACTCACATAACTTTTAAAGGTTAACTGGTAAAACCTTCCCTGATCTAAAACCCTCCTCAAATATGCAGCCAAAAAAAGGTGTTTGAGCCAGCTTGTTGTATGCCTGTTACATCATTTGTTCTCCATAAGCTATTGATCAAAAAAGTTTTGTATGACAGTAGAATTAGCTCATCATCTTAAGGAAAACCTAAGTTTCTTTGTTTTACAGGTTTGAAGAATAGAAATTGTCCAAGATGAAAACATAACTTCATCCCACATAAATGTTTAACAGGGTAACCTTTTTTTGTTTGGTGAAACCTGGTTATACTTTCTGTCATATCTAAGCTAATGGTTTTTTTCCCGCACATTTCAGGCCGTCTGCTGATTTTTTTGCTGATGGAGAATTAAAGCTGTTGTTTTGGTGTTGGGTAGCTGGTTTGAAGTAAAGATCTTACAACAACTCATAGTGTATTTTGTAAAGCTGTGTTCAGCTACTATGTATTAGTCTTTCCAATTAACTTTACTTCATTTAATGTAATTTGAAGTGAAGATATCATTAGGTTTTTGCTTCTATAGACGTTGTTAAGCTGTTTTTATTTGCAGTAAAAAGAACTGCACTGCACTGCTCAGAAAATAGACTGCACTGCAAAAGAATTGCACTTCAAAAACTAACAACTTGAAAAACAGCACTTCAGAAACAAAAGAAATGCCCTGAGATGCACAGAAGACGTAAGGGAAAAGTGAAGCACTTTTTAAAAGCTCATTTTGACCAGTAGAGGTTGAAGGTTTTCCGGTTAACCTTTAAAAGTCATGTGAACAACACATGAAATGAAGGGTTAAAATTAGCAGAATCTGTTAGAATTAGGGCTTTGGACTAAAGTTGTCACCTCTTTACAAACATTAAGGATCATATCTATAAAGAGGGATATATTACGTTTCAAAATGAAACAACCCCAATAAATTAAGGACCATTTGGATCATTTTCTCGTTCCTAGACTAACTAGGAAGTGAAAGATGTTTTGTCTCATGCAAACTAAACACGCCAATAGATGACGGTCATTGGCAATAATTGTACTTTCCCCAGTATAAATTGTTTTTGATAGAAAATGCATGGTGACACATAAACACAAGGAGAATTATCAGTACATATGCATGCGGGAGAGCGGGTGCACTTATAAATTCAATAGATGTTGAAGTCATCAACATATAAGATCAAGCAAAGAATATATAGAATATCCAGAAAAAGGGAAAAAAAAGAGATGAATATGAATAACTCACCACTACATCCAAATATTGAAGAAGAGGACAAACACCTAAGATAGGCGAAATGTTGACTATGTCAAAGTCGTGCGTGAACACAAGCACCAAGGTTAGCTCCCTAAGGTTTCTGAACATCTGTGTCTTTATTGGGAAGTATTCTATCTGAAATAAAAAATGCTTCAAGTGATCAAGGTATTCAAAAAGACAAAGATCGAAGGAATTTGAGAAGACAAGACATTATTAAATACCTGAGACTGACTAGCTTTGACTGTTAAAGATTTAACCTGAGCTGGTAAATCTCTTGCAAAATCACCAAATATGTATGGCATTGCAGTGGCTCCTTTTAAATCAATCATTACATTTTCCAACATGGGAACAAAAGAAAAATAAAATCTTACTTTGCTAAAGAAGTTACACTCAAATGAGTGAAGATTTGCAGCCCAAAGATCAATCTCTTCCAATCCGCCACAAGCAAAGAAAACAACAGATGTTACTGTACCAGAGATCCATAGCTTATAAGGAAGTTTGCAATAGCATAGCTCTAACAGATTAAGATTCAAACAAGAGGAAAAAATACGCTCAAGTTGGTCGCTTTCTAACAGAACACCCAGCAAAGTAAGGGTCCTGAGGGATTTAAGACGAACTCCTATACTTGATTGGACAACACAATGGTACAAAAGCAAATGTTTCAATGAGGATGCTTGAGATAGAAGCTCAAGGGAAAATTTAAACAACTTGTCCGAATTACGGATAGGGTTGGAATTGTGGATGGGATAATTAATACCACAATCAAAAGAAAGATATAGTCTTTCAACACCTAATCTTGAAATAGAATGCATCCATTGGTCAAATTCACTAGAAAACTGTCTCCCAAAGCAAAAAGTCATCTTAACATGAGTCACTTTACGACCCGTATAAAGTTGTAATAACTGATTTACTCCTTTCAAGAATTTTTGTTGATAGTAAGGGCAACATGTATGGTTGTAAGGTTTAATCCCAAACATGTCAAGGCATCTAAATTGTAATGTAGGCATAGAGGCAAAGCGATATTTCCACCTTCTAGATAAAATGCTCGTCCTAGCAGCATCTACTACTGTCAAATGTGCAAGAATGGAAGACAAAACATCATCTGGTAGCTGACTGAAGTAATCCTCCTTTGCATCATGAACCTAATTGCATTACAGGTGGCAACACGGATTTTTAAAGAGAAAATGTATAAAAAGTTACGTTATTCCAACAACAAAAAAAAACTACAAAAAAGATGCCCTTCCCGCGCTTATGAGATAAACATTACTACTAGTATATTTGATTATTGGACCCATGTTATGTAGCAAAATGTGGACTCGTGCGTAAATAACACGCTTTTGGCTCCTCAATTAGAACCTCTACTCTTTAATTTTTTGCCAAGTTTGGGTTTAATCTTTGTTTTTGTTTTCTGAATTAGCTTCAAACATGAAGAGGATAACCGATAATCTAATTCAGTACTCCAAAAAAACCGACATTGTCAATTTATCTTAAATCACTTTTAAAAAAGAAAGGGAGTCGTGGAGCAACATTAAAGTTGTCTGCTAGGTCGAGGCTTGCAAAAGGGGAGGCTGCTTACATCACACTCCTTGAGGTGCGGTCCTTCCCCGTACCCTGCGTGAATGCGGCATGCACTGGAATGCCCTCTCACTTTTAAAAAAATCCATGAGTAACTAGATTCAAAGATTTCTTTTCCCCTGGAGATCACCATGACTCTGTTTTATAATTTTGCCAATTTGCTTTCGTAAGACACCATCAAAAATAAAAAAATAAAAACAGATTTTGCACATACCTCTGCTAAAGCTTTTTCTTTTTCTACGTAATCAGGTCCCAAATACTTTTTGATTAATCGACCTGCTCTTGACCAGAATAGAACTTTACTTCTCGGTCTTTTACCCAAAAACCCGTAATAATTCATCCAAAGAGCAATTCCACCCAATGTAAGCAACGGCAAAATTATTCGTCCTAACAAAAGGAAAAGGGAACAAAAAATTTGCAATAAAACACAAAAGGAACGACTTTCATTATCACAATTCAACTAGTTAAGAGGAAGAGAATGTTTACCGGGAAAATCTCTATCAGCAAGCGCCATATCTATAGAATATGTATGTATAATTCTGCTGCTAATATTTAACCGAGAGAGAAAGCACTCCAACTTGGGGCAGCAGACGGGTTTTTTATGTGCCGACTGCCTCGGCTTTTGTTTAAAAAAAGGGATAATTTAAAAATAGGGTGAAAGTCTTTAAAATCAAGCTATGTTATAAAATAAAGACTATAAAGTAAAGACAAGTATAGAGAGAAACTGATATATTATTCGAATTTAAACTGATGTACATAATGAACTGAAATCTCTTCTATTTATAGAAGAAAGTAAGTTATTGTGTAAGCTGTTACATATAGATAATCTTCTACTAAGAGCAATGTTTATCCATAACGGAGTACTGAAAGGATAAACTTATTATACCCGATATGGATAATCTTCTAATGGGGGTAATGTTTATTCATAACTGGGTACTGAAAGGATAAACTTATTATACCCGATATGGATAATCTTCTATCGGAATAATATTTATCCATAATTGGGTACTCAAAGAATAGGCTTATTATACCCGGTATGGATAATCATCTACCGGGGTAATGTTTATCCATAACTGGGTACTGAAAGGATAAGCTTATTATACCTGGTATGGATAATCTTCTACCAGGGATAATATTTATCCATAACTGGGTACTGAAAGGATAAGCTTATTATACCTGGTATGGATAATCTTCTACCACGGATAATATTTATCCATAACTGGGTACTGAAAGGATAAGCTTATTATACCCGGTATGAATAATCTTCTACCGGGGTAATGTTTATCCATAATTGGGTATCAAAGTGATAAGCTTCTTCAGGAAGCTTATTTCCAATAGAGTACTTCAATAGATAAACATATTTACGGTGAAGTCTCATATGGATAAGCTTCTTCAAGAAGCTTATTTACAACGGAGTACTAAATGAACATCCATAATATAATATATGTATAACACTCCCCCTTGGATGTTCATTAAAAGATAATGTGCCTCATTAAAACCTTACTAGGAAAAACCACGTGGGAAAAAATCCTAGTGAAGGAAAAATAGTACACATATTTAGTAATACGCATTGTTGGCTGCCTCATTAAAAACCTTATAAGGAAAACTTTGTGGGAAAAACCTTAGTAAGGGAAAAAGAGTACAGCGCGCATTTTACTCCCCTTGAAGAAAACCTTATTTCAAATATTTGAGTCTTCGCATTCCAATCTTGTATACCATATTCTCAAAAATTGATGTTGGTAAAGACAATCTGCTGGATTGTCACTTGAACTAATTCGATGCACATCTATGTCACAATTTTCTTGAAGATCATGTATGTAGAATAATTCTGGTGAAATGTTCTTCGTTCTATCTCCTTTTATAAATCCTCCCTTTAATAGTGCTATGCATGAAACATTGTCTCCGTATAATATTGTGGGTCTTTTATCACATTCCAACCCACATGTTTCTCGAATGAATCACTGATCTCAATCATATGCACTCCCTGCTTGCCGGTTTGAAATCGAGCTTTATGGGTATCGGATAAATAACCTGCATCTGCATTACCAATACGATCTGCACCACTTTTGTTAGCATTAGCAAGATAAATAAGTGCACCATCTACACCGAGATAGAGTATTTCAGGACCAAGGAGCTCATTATCCTCTTCTAGAGGTTGGAACGGATCCTCATTCACTTCAGGTGATTGAATATTCATTGGTGTACTTAATGGGTACACTTTGTCCATATAAAAGTATTTTTAAGACCCTCTTGAAGCTCTTTCGGAGTTCCAATAAGATTTATGTCACCAACATAAACAGCAAGTGTAACAAATTTT